ATGCTCTATTCTGTTCGTGTCCATTAGCTTTTTCAGAAGTGGTTCATTAGATTGCAATTTTAGAATCTTCCAAAGTGAAATCTGTTCAGTTTCAGTAACAAAGAATATGAAGATATGAACATGAGCTGGTATGCTACACACTACAGGCAATCACTGGTGTAATTTCCATAGAATTCAGGCGCAATACTTCTCATTGGGGAATAGCGTAATGCATACGAAATATGTGGCCGGCTCTGCAAAAAAAGTATTATGTCAGACTTTTTGGAATTTGAGTATGTATGTATACATTAATCAAATTGCTCACATCCTAAGCTTCCATTTGATATACACGTGTAATTCATCCCAGTGGCATTTTGCATTTTGGAGTTACATGTGTTTGCCATTTGGATATTCATACATGTATACCAGGCAGTTTAATTTTATCACATGCCCTTTAAACATAACGAACAGAAACATTAAACTTAAATTAGACACTCTCTTAATTTTCCTTAGCAACAGAGGCTTTCTGGTCAAGCAGTTGGCCTCAAAATATTTCCAAATATTTTAATCCCCGGCACATGGAATGGGTCATTACACATTTTTGCATTGGGCAACTTAATACACCTTTTTGCTTAGCGGGTCACATGTGTGTATTTCATGCAGTTCTGCCGGCTATCAGAGCCGATGCCTGTCAGTCTGCTGTAAAGAGATTACGGTATATTCTGAAATGGAAAGAATATCCATTGGGAAATCACAGGAAATTTGGTGCAATCGTCAGATGAAGCTAGGATGTTAGTGTACCCTTATGAATATAAAATAGCTGTGACTCGTGAGAGTGACTTGGAGGGTTACAATTCTAACCTACAGAGGCATTGTCTAGCTGTTAGATAAACGGATAGTGTGAGAGATGTTTTGATTTGTGGGCACTTGAACAGCAATTAGGGTTAAATTGTAATTGATTTATGCCCATGTAGGTTCCATCAATTGCCTGTGATAAGTTTGTGGTGATACGGTAGTCATGTATTTGTACACTACATACGCGCACAGTGTCCCTAACGCATAGTACCAATGAACTCTCAATAGAGGAATTTACAGCATTACAGGTGTCTGTATGTTTTTCTTATTAAAATTTTCCAGGGACGTGACACAAGAGAAGGTGTTTTCTTTTCTTGAATGAAGAAAATTTTCTTGTGCAGTTATGAAAAATTTTGCTGGTTGCACTAGATACATAAACATTTATCAAAATTTCCTGCCACCTGAATTTGATCCTAATTTGGCAAAAGTATTAGAAAACTTCCCTATAACAAGGTGCACGAGGGCCTACATGTACATGTGCACGTACATGTCAGATCTGCTGGGGAAGGGGAAGGGTGAAGATTTGAACCTTTCTCTTGGTTGGGCTGCAAGTAGGAAAAAGGAAAGACAGAGACAAACACCTTTGTAGACTAATCCGATTAGGCGCCCTAACTGCGGTGGCACCGCACTCACACACACATTCTTCAGCTTGACGCGCACGTGCATTTGGCAAATCACGACACCCTGTTGGTCGAAGAGGCATGTAATGCGCATACCACCTGTCCACGAGCATTGTGCCACCGCAGTAATGGCTTCTAATTCTGGTGGTCAAATTACACTGTTCCCTCTCTTGATACATAGAATACATGTACATGTACTACGTACAGTACATGCATACACCATACACGCTGTACCATACTCCGTACATGCGTATGTACTTTCGGTTTTATGTACTAATTATACCCCAAAGATGGAGCTGTCATCAGCTTTAAACTTATTTTTGTGCGGCTGGCAACCTTTCAGGTGTTACAAAATCACGTCATCATGCCGCATGTTTTTGCGTAGATATACACCTAATGAGAGAAACTACTGTATACTATTGACTGAAGTGCTTCCAAAACAGTTCTCTGGTATATGTGTAAGTACCGGGGGTTGTACAGTATCTAGAAACCAGACGTTTTGCATGTTTGACAAAACAAGCCAAGACAAGGTAAAACAATGTACAAATTAAATGGATTATACAAGATGGCCACCATAAATTTATAAATACACACTGTACAAGTACAGTTGTATACACCAGCACATGTACCTGTGGATGATATGAGTTTAAGCTTCCAACACAAACATTGTGTACATATACATATAGGCCTATGCAAAACCTACATGTACATGTAGTACATGTACATACTAAATGTATTGTACATACACTGAAGTGAATATATTTTATTTGTACAAGTAAATTAAATTTACTGGGAAACATCACTTGTCTGTTACATCTTAGATATGCTTTTCTTGCCTTCATTCAGGAACCACTCAAAAAGAGCCAAGAAATAACATCATGCCCTCTACTTCGTTTCTTCTGTTTCATGAATTTTTGTGTTCACCAAATACCAAGTGTTGACCTTTAAGTCTGTATAAGACACTTCACTTATGATGATATTTTACGGCTATCTGTCCATGAGACCTAAGGAAAGGGGAAAGCCATGTCCGTGCTTGGACTCACTAAGAGCAGGCAATTAACACGCAGTCACTGTGAAACTGGCGTGCCGGAGGGAATACTGTTGACGCCTGCGATGGGTTAGACTTGATGCTGGGTCAGTGATTGGAACAGTTTTCATGAGGAAGCTGTCATGAATGGGCATCCTCTTGCTTTAAACAGCAAGGGATATTTTCTGTCCTCTGCTTTGGACAGCCCTGACTTGAGTCTGCTGGCTGCATGCTTTGAGTGAGAATTAAAAGATGGAATGTATAAAAAAACAACAACTTCCCACATGATGTCCAGAAACAGTCACAATCATCTCAGAATGATGCAGTTGGATTTGTGGAGGTCTGATAGCCTTCAGGATTTATAAAGATACATGACCAGAGAAGGCTTTATTTCCACACACTAATTGTATGTACATTTTACTGCAGATCAGTTACGTATGGTGGGGAGGTATTGACATTTTAATGCTCCTACAGATGATGTTATGTGCATGTATACATTGTAAGATTCCACCGCACCTTAAAGTTAACATCTTGAGAAGAGAGCACTTCATTGTTTCCTCTTAATTTCCATATTGGGGCATACAGGGAATACAAGTACATGTACTCATCGTACAAATTTCCAAATAAACAACCCTTACACTCTTAGCACGGTTCCGGTACATTCATAGATGTACCGGTGCAGGTACATGTATGTGTATACATACATGCACATGTATAGTTACTCATACAAGAATCCTATAGGCCTAATCAAGTACTGTACTTGTAGCTTGCAAGTCCAGCCTCTCTTTCAACATACCGCGGTACCTGTACGTACATGTATTTGTACAGTATGTGCGGTAGGCCTACATTACATACTGTACATTATACACCGTACATACGTACATGTACATGCAGTGGTACATGTTCGGAGGAACATTGATAGACTTGTACCAAGTTTAGGTGAGTTGGAGACGTAGAAACATGAGTGTTTTGTGCCTAATGGGGTTGTCAGACGTAAGAGCACCTACAAGGACCTTCTCAGTTTCATGCAACAGGGCAGGGAGGTACTCAGTTGGTAAGATGGGTAAATGTACCTGGTTCTTCTGCTGAGGGAAAGTGGTCTTAGAGGAGCACTTACTCAGACGGCAGTTAAAAAAAAGTCCTCTGAGGCATCTTTCACTAGTCTTAGGATTCGTCATGCATACAGTGTACATGTATCAATTTTATTTGTATTCAATCTTTTCAATTACTGATGATGTTGTAACATAAATGAAAGTACCGGTACTGTCAAATTTCAGCTCTCTTGATGACAGCTACTGTATTTACTAGTACATGTATGTGACATTGCTGTTTCGTTTAGACAGGTGCACAGATACGTTACATGTACACATGTAAAAAACTGTTGTCAAAACTGTGCACAGAAATGACTCTACATGTACAATGGCACTGTGTGTAAATCTTCCATTGTATGATACATTCAAAGATGACGCCACTTTGTACCAGTATACATGCGTGGACCAGACTTGGAGAAAACAAAAAGCCGTCAGTAAGCATCAGAATTTCCCATATATCAAATTATTCACAGCTTTTTGCTGACAGGTGCTGCCAGAGAAGAAAGGACATTTCAAAGAGGAAAAGAATTCTCAAGGGTAAATGTCATTGTCAGCGTTGTTCTGTCACCGACACACTGTAGTCATGAAACATCTTGATGTGATTCTGAGGAATAGCTTTCAATTAATGAACACCTGAGTCTGATTGGTTGTCTGAAGAGAAGGATATATTACTTTTTTTTCACCTGTACATGTACATTTACACGTACACTTAACATGTAGGCTGAATAGTTTGTGTATCTGATAAAGAGAAAAGTGGCGGAATAACATGTTATGGACTTCTAATTCGATAGACCTTAGTTTCTTCATGAGTAAAGCGAATTGGCAACATCCATTTTGTTTGCAAGTAGTTTATGGCAATTCAAACTTTTATGCATTTTAATGTTCGAAAGGATTGAATTATAGTTTGATAAGATTGAAGCAATGAAAGCTAACACATGAAACACATACATGCACCTGTACAGCAACATTAAAAAATAACATTACAAAGCTTAATTGGTTGGGATAATGTGAGGCGTACATGTATGTGGTATTGCAGTGTTATTACAGATATAACAAGTCGCTTTTTTTCATACATGACACCAGATATTAACAGTCTTTTACCCTACACATGTACGTGTAGCTTTGCGAGAAAACATTTTTGCTCCCAAGTTTTATATCCTGACTTTGCCCTTTTGTAGCACTTTGAGATGAAACAGCAGTTGTTACATGAACTTTGTGTACAGCTTTGAAAAATCTACTATTTATAACTCTGAGGGAATTTCAAACAGGCAAATCTTGATAAGTGCAACGTTCCCAAATTATCCTTTGAACGTTTTTGAAGTGGGACCTGTTCACCACTGTTATCAATGACAATGCGAAATCTGCAACATTTTTTTGTTTTAATTGTTAACTTTTGGCTTATCATATGACCTTTGACCCATTCTGTAGCCATGACATCTGCCAAGTACCGATAACAGCAACAGCACTTCACTCCCTCCGTCCAAGGTCCTAAAATCTGCACTTGATAGTGTGTGAGCTACCACAGGACTGCTTAGTCGCATCACCAAAAAGATTCAGTTAGACGTGAAACAACATCAGCTGGGTCCACGCGGGACTGGACGAGAAAGACAAAATGGCTGCCAACAGTACTAGCGTCCATGTTTCTGACACTCAGACATGGGAGAAGAACAAGAAAACCACAGTGAGTATGCTGTATCAGGCTAATGACAACGTCATGGTACATTTAGGTGGGTGTTTTTTATTACACGTGTATGATTTCAATTGAGCCAGGTGGACTTCTGTTAAACATTGAGAACAGCGCTCTTAGAGTTTGTACTAAAATCCTGGGTACTATTTCAAGCCTTGGAACTCCCATTAAATGTTTAAGAGAGAGTTTAAATTTTGGATCAGCTGTGACTCAGTCAAGTTGGCACTTGATGGATGTGCTGTCTTAAATGTAAATGAGTCACATCTGGTGTACTGTTTCTTCTTAATGATTCATGTACAAATGGATTGCAATGCGCACTAGGGTGTAGTGAATTTCAAAGAAACTGTGAATTTTAAGTTCTAAAAAGGCAAAACTGATGTTCTGGCAATATCTTTAAAGACCTTCCACCTTATAAAGAGAATCATTAACATACATGTACATATTTCTGTTTGCCGTTACCTAAAACAAGATGGAAAGTTCTCTTGAAATGTGCTGATTCATGCTGAATCAGCACTTTTTGGTTCCTTGCGTGTACATGTACATGTAGCCTTTCAGTTCCAGTTTTGTTTCCTTGGAGATGTTCATGGAAAGTGCACCGTTTTAGTAAAATCAACCAGTTCTTATGTACACACTATTAGATTTTTCAACCCCATTTTCACCCCTGTGTTTTTTCACACTTGTTTCGTGTGAACCAAGCTTATCAGGGTGAGTTCAACCCGGAAATGGGTACAACAAATTTTCGACCTGGGTTGAGAAATCTCAGGACACACGATTGAAATTTTCAATTTTAGTGACGGTGTACTGGTGCTGTTTCTTTTCAATGATTCATGTAAAAGGATTGCAATGTGCACTAGGGTGTAGTAAAATCAACCACTTCTTATCTGCACACATGATTGGATTTTTCAACCCCATTTTCAACGTGGAGTTGTTTCACACTTACATGTATATGTATTTCATGCGAACCAAGCTTGTTTGGGTGAGTTCAACCCTGAAAAGGGCACAAAAAAATTTCAACCCGGGTTGAAAAATCTCAACCCAGGTCATGAGCAGGGCCGAGCCAGTTCAACGCGGGTGGAAATCAATCTCAGGGCTGAAAATTTTCAAGTGTGAATCGTCGTCAGTTTTCAACGCTGCGTCAACCCCGAGATTTGACTCATGTGGAAAGGCCCGTAGGAACATTGTTTAGTGACAGCACCTGCCTGCAGTCCAACATTGACACCGCAGCAGTCTCCCCTAACAACTATTACTTAAGCTATTACAAGTCCAGGCCCTTGTTATGGGCAAATAAGAAGTGATGTCACTAACATAATCATGGAATGAAGTGCCGGTGTGTGTATGCCTTCCTACAAGTATCAGCAGTTTCATGGGTCTGTTTACCAAATGGGAATGTCACAATACCCGGAGAAGATATCACTCTTTTCTTTTGTCTTGAGCAGAAGCATCCCCACGTTGGTTGAAAAGAGCCGTGTTCATTTTGTTGGTACTGTAGCGATATGACTGCAAGGCTTGCATTTCCTAGTCAGTCGTGAACCAGCGATGCACAGTTTGTACCAAAGGAGCCTCTGTTGCTCAGGAAATAGTGCCCACTTTTGGTACAGCTCAAGTGTGTAATCTGATGATATGAGCATCATTTGTCCGTACATGTACCGTACATGTCCACACATGTACATGTGCACACATGCACATGTCCACACATGCACATGTCCACACATGCACATGTCCACACATGTACCGGTACATGTCCACACATGTACATGTCCACACATGTACATGTACTGTACAATGTACATACTGCAAGTAGCAACATCATTGATGGAGAAAGAACAGTGTTTGTATATCTACCGGTAGCAGGGGAGAAAGTACTGTAGGCCCCTATCATTGGCTATAAACTGGCAAGCGCTTTCCATTCCACCTTCATAATAACAATACATAGGTTGCAAAAAGTGCCATCTTTGGATCATGTGTGATGCCAATAGATTAGCATGTGATCTAAAGGGCAGTGTTACAAGGACTTGTATGTTTACTTCTTGTATCTATCTTATTTGCATGAAATATTTTTGGGGGATTAGTTTAGGTCCACAAATTGAGCTAATGAACTTTAACTATGCTAGAGGGCACTCTGTGTACTTACTGCACATGGACATGTTCCAGTGCAGTACGTCACACCCATTAAGAATGTTACTAATCCAACTTTAATCCTCTCTATTAAACTCCCAGTATATCTGGTTAGTTATGCAAGTGTTGTGAACTTAAAATAAATTCACTTTATTTAATCAGATCCTGTATTAAAACAGGGTGCTTAGATCTTCTCAGATAGGGTTATTTATAGACCACCTGCGAACCAAGGCTTACATGCACAAGATGACTCATTCTCTTGCTTCACAGTCCTTTTTTTATCGAGAGTACCCAGCTGGTGTAAAAATAAAACTTGCCGCAACGCCGACGGAAATTTCCTATTTTGGTCTCGTGCTAAGTCGGTCGAGTCACCGGCTTTTTCCCCACTTCCCTTCATTTTGGTGAAGGGGGCTATATTTATTGTGGGAAGTCTGCTGTCGGAGAGATACATCGTACATGGACAGAACTTGCTGTGAATATCTGGAAGTTGGAGAGCTTATCAGCTTATATATTGAGCGCATAGTGGTTTTTTTGAGGGAATGACTTTTGGTGTTGGTTTTAGATGTGTATTCTTCAAAACACCAGCAAGCATACTAGATTCCTGATGATCCCCATTAGAAATGTCAGCACCAATGAAGAAACAGCAGATAACTTTGAAGTACATGTATCTACTAGTCTGCAGTGAGCAGGTGCTTCTGTTCCTTCATTATCTTCAGCAGCAATCTGCAAAAACCTCCAATTTTTTGGCATTGTGAAACCTACTACATACGGGAACATGCTCGACGTACTGATTGGATGCATAACATGCACGATAGAGTAACAAGAGTGTAGATGCACATGTAGCTGTTCTGCTCAGTCCAGTTACTTTACAAATATTCAAGCAGAGAAGTCTTGAGCGTCTTGTTAGGGAATGGTTTCTGAATTGAGCTTGAGGCATAAAAAGCGGACATCAGGGTGTGACAGACTAGTTACAGGAAACTGAGTCGCTGAGCCACATATCCAGCAAGCCATGATCATCCCAGACATCAGCAGTCGAGGCATCCAATAACGTGGATTACTTCAGAAGCAGTTTGTCCTTCTTTACAAGCATTTGTAGACTTACACAGGTACATGTACATGTGTACCGGTTGCTTCTTAGTTGTAACAAGCAGGTTGTAAGTCAACACTTCTATACACTTCAACAGCACCAAAGTCAAGTGATCCAAGCTTTCTCATTTTCTGGAATTGGGCATTTCTGCTGAAAAAAATCATTTGATTATTGGAATACACTGGTACAAATTTTTGGAATATTGTGGCCTGACTTTGGTACATGTACATGTAATACGCAGCGGCTTCTGAATACTATGATTGGAACAGGTGACAGAAGACTGGTTTTACTGTATGCTGCTTGATTGATAAGCCACATGTATGAAGCATTTTAGCAAATCTTATAAGAGTAACAGCTGTTACAACCTGCAAATTGTGTGGCAATTGCAGAACTGTCTTCACAGGATCCAGATTTTTTTTTCGAAGTTTTTCTTGGAGAGGAGTTCCTGGAATAGAAGAACCTCAAGGATTATGCAACGTACATGCACACATAGAATGTATATCACATATTAGTGACTGTCTGTTTTCTTGAAATGAATAAGACTTTGGAGAATTTTACTTCAGTTTTATCTTCAAGCAAAACGGTTGTACATTACTTCTACTTGTTATAAGCATTAAGACTTTCAGACAAATCTCTTACACTGGATTTGCTCAAGCACCATTAAGCGTATTTCTGTCAGACAGTGGGACGTCTACATTACTGTTAAGATTACAGTTGAGCCTGGTTTATGTCAAATGACAAATAGCAATCCAAAAGTGACTTACATGTAGATGCAAGATTGTGGTTGTCATATTGCACTACTGTGAGGGTCTATTTGTGCCAGTCAGACACCAGGCTTTATCAGGGTAACTGTTGTTTGTGCTTGAAGAGGAATCATCAACCAACTTTCCAGCAGTTAGAAGAAATTATCTCTCCAGCAGTCAGAGGAAATTATCTCTCCATCCTGCCGAAAATTTTTCCCAGTGGACAGGTGTCTCCGCCCTCATTTTTTCCTCATCATGGCAAGTCTGGTCAAGCTCGTGTTCGTCTGCATGCGTCCTTATAATCAATCTATTCATAACAGGAAGAAGGTGAGTAGACCTCACTTCAATTTTGGGTGTCAAGAAAGACTTGAAAACATGGACCTGTCTTTTTTGGCTCCATGGTGAAAGTTAGTAGCTGTCAGTGCTTTCATGTGGACATGTGTTTTGTCAGTGCCATTTTGTACCCCATAGCTAACCCCTAGTATTGTATCCACTGTCAGCCAGCCAGCTGCATTACGTACATTTAGTGTACAGTTTTCCAGAAAACAAAATCAGCTGTGGCGATTTGCTAAAGAAAGCCTAGCTGTTGAGAGGAAGAAGCTTTCATATCAGAATTGAATCACACATGTAGTACTTCCTTTATATTAGTGCAGATGTCTTAAACATTTTACTACGTGTACTTTGTACATGCATGTACATGAAGGTGCCGGTATTTATTCAAAGCTTGCGTAAAGCTGACTTTAGCAGGTTACAATGCACTTACATGTATCAGCAGTACATGAAGTTTGCGTACATGTAGTTTAAATTCCTTTCAAAAATGCGCACACTGTCAATTGTAGTGGTTATACCGTACCTGTCAGAAAGGTCTGTCCGTTTAACCCATTTTCGTGATCGTCCTTGCAGTCTGTATTTTGTGTTTGTCCAGTTGAAGATCCTCAGTATATCCCTACCCTCTGAAACCTTCCTGTTTGGCCGATGAGCAAAGTTAGTGCCTTTTGACCTCGTCACTGTTGGTTCAGCCAGTTGCTCTGGCAGAGGATTTGTCCAATTAACAAATGACCCTTCCTCAAATCCGCGCTCCCTCATTGGCCCTGCTTTCATTCAAGTGTATATCCACACACTCAAAACGTGACTGGGAGAGAAACAGATGGTCTGACTTACCCGTTTTGTTTTTAAAACAGTGTCTCATGATGATGATGATGCAAGGAAATCTTTTGACCTCCTAATCCCCAACTCCCATGAACTTTTGTTTTGTGATACTGGTACATTTGTATATGTGTACCAGTAAACCAGGTGGCTCATGCCAAGCTGTTAAAATGAATCAGTGTTCTAGCTTTCTTGGGTCTTTAGCCAAGAAGATTGTGGATGGAATGCTGCAAAGCAGTTACAAATACATGTGCATGTAATCCACCATCTGTAGGCTACATCTTTTATGGCTATATGTGTACATAGCTGCCTGATGCAAGAGGAAATTGAGTTCAGCTGTTAGTGCTAAATACATACATACATGTAATTATATGCAACTTGTGAAGCAGAGATTGCTGTACACATGTACCGGTACATGTACATGTTTGTATGCTGGGAACAGTATGGGATATGTACATACATGTACATGTACAAGTGTCATGCATTGTTTTTGGCTGGTACATATGTACATGTACATGTAACTCTCCTTTAAGCAAAACTCTTCTTAGCTGAGCTGAGATTTGATTTGAATGGCTGCTCAAGATTTGGCCTCGATCTGGTGATGTCAGCCAGGCCTCATATTGGTTCCCTCAGATGTACATGTAACTCAGGATCCTGTGTGGTGAAAACCACCGGACAGGAAGGACTCCCCGTTTCTGTGCCCTAGCTGTCAAAAGTTATGCTGAGCTTTCATTTTCCTGTTACACTCCTCATGTACATGTACAATGCAACTAGTACATGTAATACCCCCCCATAACTTATATGTACACCGACACTTTGTTACATGTAAGTGTATGCAGTTCGTGTGTTGGAATACGGTAGGGTTTTTAGTTTGCTTTTAAGTTTGATGTTAACCAAGTTTTGTGATTGAGATCGAGACAATTTCAAACTTGCCGTCCAAAAGATATCAATCGAGACACCCCCCCACATTTTCGTGCATGTACATGCAGTATGGCTTGACCAGTGTTGAAAAATGTATTCAGGGAGGCTTGGCAGTTTGTTTAGGTTATGGTGTCAGTTGTGGGATGTTTGGGTTTTGTTACATCCCTGGATTGTTAATAATATGAAACCTGCAGTAAATTTTGCCAAGAAAACACTGGGCATACACATGGACAATTCAAAATATCGATACCGCAAACAGAATACATTGTATGTGGAGAAGTA